GAACATCACAAAGAAGGCAATGGAGAGATGCATGCTGGGGGTAAGCAGGCTGCATCACGCCACGAATATGGGAGCTGGAAGGACAAGGGTAAGGGATGTGATTGGGGAAAGGCATAAGAGTCAAAGAAAGGCTGACCATGTGGTGAGGGTCAGGGAGAGCTGATGACATGAATGCATGCATGAATGCATGCATGAATGAATGAAAAAGTGCTTATTCAGGATTTACTGTGTTCTAAGAAATGTACTAAGAGCTGGGGGTATAACTGGAAAAAAAAAAGACAATTCTTGTTTTCAAGGAGCTCCCACTCTAACTGGGGGACATGAACAGTCTGCTCCACTTGAATCCTTGTAGATGGCAGAAGAAAGCAAGGAGATGGTTTCTAACAAATAGGGTGGATCCCCAGGGGCCAACTCATGAGAGAACATGGGAGTCATATGGGATGTGCAGTCCTGGGTCAGTTTTAATGATGATGGTGATGATGGTGATGGTAATAGTAATAAAATAATAATAACTAACAATTATATATAGCAATTTATATATATATATATATATATAGTTTACAAATATCTAATTTGACTCTTACAACAATCCTTAGAGGCAGGTGCTATTATTATCCCCATTTTACAGATGAGGAAATTGAGGCAGGTATGGGTTAAATGACTTGCACAAGGTCACACAGCTGATAAGTGCCTGAAGCCAAATTTGAACTCAGGTCTTCCTGACTCCAGGTCCCAGGTTCTGTCTGCTGAGCCACCTGGCTGTATTGCTAAATAGAACACTGACATTGTGCTAAGATCAGGGTATAATATTCCAAGACACCCACAGATGGCAGTTTATTCTGCCGTTCCCCAACCAGTTGGCACACGTTGTGTTTCTGATTTTAAAATCATAAATGATGGTATTAATATTTTTTGCACAGATGGGTCTTTTCCTCACTAGCATTAACCTCCACGGGTATAAATCTAGTAGTGAGATGTCTGGGTCAAAGTGTATGAACAATTTGGTAACTTTTCTTGCATAATTCCAAATCATTTCCCAGAATGGTCAGACCAATTCACAGCTCCACGAGCAGTAAGCTGGTGTCTCTCATTCCCTTTTTTCAGCCTTTGTTTTCTCAAATAAATTGGCCCACTGAGGCAGAATAAGGTAGACAAGCTCGCCATCTGCTGGATATCGTCTGTCAGTTCTCCCCATGTCCACCAAGCAATAGACCCCCAAAGGACTTCCATTTTCTGATTCCTATCAGTCCCCAAGTGCCTCATTTATTTACTTCCCACGTAGATGAGCCTGGGGGTGGGTGGATTGAAATCTGTACTGGTGGAGTGAGTACCTACACCTGAGATCACAGATCCAACTAAGTATGAAAGTGTGAAAAAAGCTAAGAAAAATAACAAATAGCTAATCAGGTGTAGATGGAGATGGTTATCATCCTTTCATCAGTCCACAGACACCCCCAAACACCATCCCTAAAGATCTGGGTGTGAAGAAGGGACAGGGCTAAGTACTAGATGGCATGCTGTGATCCTGATGTTAATAACCATAGAAATCTTGTTCAATCCCCTCATGTTACAGATGGGGAAACTGAGGCCCCAAGAAGTTATCTATCATGCTCCAACATGTTGTTTATCTCCTGCTTTCATGCCAATTGCTTTTCTGTTTCCCCATCCTGCTTTGTTCTTCTGACTACCACTAAGTTGAGAATTCATAGCTGAGTGTGAATGAACATTTTAATCTGGTGTTTTGAGACATAGAGCACTGGACTTGGAGTCAGGAAGCCCTGAGTTCAAATCCTACTTGAATGTCAAATCAATATTTACTACTTGTGTGACCCTGAGCAAACAGGTCACCGAACCTTCCTCAATCTAGTTTTCTTATCTATAAAATGTGAATAATAACAGTACCTGCCACATGCGGTGGAGGAACCAATGAGGTAATATATGTAAAGTACCTTCCAAATGCTATTATCATCATCATCATCATCATATTTATTATATAATTTAATTATTGATATAATAATAGTCTGTCATTTCATGTTCAATTACCTTGGGGTGCTCCCTGGACCATCACCTCTCCAATGTATGGTACACTCAAGATTAGCCATAGTCAAAAGTGTGGGAAATGGCCCACGTTTATCTTCAAGTAGTCAGAACCACCCCTACCTTCTGCCTTTCCTCCTGCCTTCCCACCTCCCGACGCTCAAACTTCTCATGGGATAAACTGTTTGCGCTTACTCATGGCCATGTGGTGAGGGTCAGGGAGAGCTAATGACATGAATGCATGCATGAATAAATGAATGAATGAATGAAAAAGTGTTTATTAAGGACTTACTATGTTCCAAGAACTATACTAAGAGCTGGGGATGTAACTGGAACAACAACAACAAAAAAAGGCAGTTCTTGTTTTCAAGGAGCTCCCACTCTAATTGGGGGACATGAACAGTCTGCTCCACTTGAATCCTTGTAGATGGCAGAAGAAAGCAAGGATGGTTTCTAACAAATAGGGTGGATCCCCAGGGGCCAACTCATGGGAGAACATGGGAGTCATATGGGATGTGCAGTCCTGGGTCAGTTTTAATGATGATGGTGATGATGGTGATGGTAACAGTAATAAAATAATAATAACTAACAATTATACGAAGCACTTTAAGGTTTACAAATATCTAATTTGACCCTCACAACAACCCTGAGAGGCACGTGCTGTTATTATCTTTACTTACAGTTATTATCCTTACTCATAGTTACCAGCAGCCTCTGGGAGTTAATATGTTAACATCCCCAAGGACGCCTGCATTTGAACAGCGGAAGAGCAGCAAAGCATGATGAAGCAAAAGCATGACTTGCTGGGGGAGCGTCTCATAGAAGCCCTTGAAATCCATTGGGTAGGCAGCTGCCTAATCCAGCTGTGCTACAGGCCATCCTCGTGTTTGGTGATAACTGATGGGGCTCCCAGGGCAGTGAAATATTCTAAAACTATCTGAATAATGAAGAATGGAATTAGGTTCGGGTCAGTTTGTGTTCTTTTTTAACTGCATGTGAATTCTTAGAAAACCAGAAATCCATGTATGTGTCGGTGATTTAAATGGGAAATGGAGATTTGGGGAACGAGAAGGTCCTTATATCCTCATTTTAAAGATGAGGAAACTGAGGCTCAGAGGGGACTCACCCCACAGAATTTAGAGCTGGAAAGGCCTTAAAAACCAATAGCGTATGGTGTAATGAGGAAAGCACAGAGGGGCCTGGGTTTACAGCATCACGGGTTTGGAGCTGGCAGAGACCTTCAGGGTCAAATGGAGGAATTGAGGCTCGGAGAGAAATGGCTTACCCCAGACCACATAGCAGCTCTGCCAGAATTTGAACCCAGATCCTCCAAAATGAAAATCCAGCATTCTTCCTACAGCACCGCAGGTGTGAGTCTTGATGCTTCCTGACCAGCTGTGTGACCTTGGTTAACTCATTGCTTTCTCTGATCCCAAGTTTTCTCATCTCTAAAATGAAAGGGATAGGATCCCTCCTAGGTCTGTATCTGTGGTCCAGTCCAAACATCTTTTTTTTTATAGATGAGAAGACTAAAGGCCAGAGAGATGAGTGAGATAGGATCATAGGATTTTACAAGAACTAGCCTTCCTTCCTCACTTTACACTCAAGGAAATTGAGGCCCAGGGAGACAGCAGATACTTGCTGAAGATCACACATGTACCACAGTGGGACTCAAAATGAGATCCTCAGATTCTCAACCCAAGGTTCTTTCCCCTGGACCACAGCACCTCCTCGTCCAGTCCAACCACCTCATTTTACAAACAGAGAAATGAAGACCTAAAAAGGGTATAGGACTTGACCAGGGTCATGCTGGCAGTCAGATGCAAAGCCAGGATTTGAACCGGCCAGTTCTTTGTGGCCAAATCTAGTGCTCTTTCCATCAATCCAGTACTTCCTGCAGTTTGCTTGAGGTCACAGTCAGAGAATGATTTTGTATTAGAATCCCAAAGGCCCCATGCCTCAACCAGCATCCAACTGGTAACAAAAATGTACAGTCAAGAGATAGGGAGGATGAGGCCCGGGAAACAAAAGCTGCTGTTACGCTCTGGGCTTTCGCACAACCTCGTGTGCGGGCTGAGGTTAAACGCCTGTTCCTTGTTTTTGTCTCAGTTTCTTCACCTGCGAGATGGAAATCGTACGATATTCTGGACTGTGTTTACAAAATGCCTTTGAGAAGAATGGTTAGGTCAAAGACTTTAGAATCGGGAATGTGGCCAAAACAAAGTGATGCAGTGAAAAACTGAGGTATCAGAGGAACCTCAGAAAAATCACCTCGTCCAACCCTCTGATTTTACATCTGAGGCCTAACTAGTGAAGTGACCCATCCACCATTACAGGGCAGTAGTCTGTGTGACTGGCATTTCACTCGGGCTCAGTAAAAGGACGCTGGAGTTGGATTCAGAAGACCCGAGTTCAAGCCCCAGCTCCGCCCTCAGCTGTGCGACACGGGGCTAGTCTCTATATCTGTTTCCTCACCTGGACCATGGTGGGGTTGGCCCAGATGGTCTCGAAGACCCCACATCTACGATCCATGAGCCCGGGCGCTGAGGCGCTTCTCCTGTGAAGGGTGGGTCCCTCTAAGGCACAATGATGATCCAAGGACCCTTGGGGGGCCTCATCACCCAAGCTGACACTCTCCTCCAGGAGGAAGGTCCTCCAAGTTGTATCACGATGAGTCACTAAAGGCCGGATCACTGCTCAGCAAGACGGAGAGTTTGTGTAGACGAGGAGTTCTTAACATTTTTTGTGTCCTGGACCCCTCTGGCATCCCCTGGAGAAGCCCATGGACCCCTCTTGGAACATTTGTAATTGGAGCAAATGCTAAATTTCAGTTAGAGATGAGTGGAGATAATAATGCACTTTTTCCCACCCAAAGCCCCAGGCTAAGGATCCTCCAACTAGACCGGACTGAGGCAGCATCTCCTACGAAGGCAGTCAAAATGGAAGACGCCCAGTCAGAGAACTTTTAGCACTGATGTTTATTTCCAACTGCCTCCCAACAGTGGCGAGATCTGCCTGTTCTGAGCCCAGACAAGAGCCCCAAGCTCTTGCCTGGCCCCCAGCACCAGTTCCGAGGCTGCTGTGAGGTGAGCCCTGCTGGAGAGGCTTTGCCCCCAGGCTCGGCCTGCACGGGCACAGGGGTGGCCCGAAGGTCCCATTCTTCTGGCCTTTGTCTAAGATCAGCAGAAGCCCACTCGAGGGCCTGGAACTGGAGGGGGATGGGAGCTGTCCCTCTCACCCAAGGCAACGCCCTCCCAAGTTCCAGGAGCTTGTCAGTCCAGCTCAGCAGCTCCATCCCTAGTCTCCCCAGCAGCCGCACATGCAGCTGGTAGAGCCCCATTCCCTCCCTCGCTGCTGCCTCTGTAATGACAACAAGCACAGAAGCCTCTGGGAGACCTCTGGGCCTCAATCTGAAGGAGAAAACAAGGGGAAAGAAAAGGAAGACTGATGAGAGGACGAGCTTTGGGTGTAGCGTGTGAAGTGCCTCTTACCAGTCCATGCTCCTTCTGGTTAGCACCACACCTGGTGAGCCCCACCCAGCACGGGTGCCCCGGCACTCTCCGAGGGTCCCCTTCCAACTGGGGGCCAGCAGGGGCAGTAGCATGAGGGACGGTCACTTATTGGCCACAGCCGAAAGCTGGTCCCGAATCCGGCCCAAGCCATCTAGCATGGTGTCCAGCGTTTCTTTGCTCAGCTCCATGGTGACGGCTGAGATGGCAGGCTTGTCCCCGCACAGGCTGGCATCCTCCTGGATCTGAAAAGGGAACAAGACTCCAAGATGATGGGCTGGGGATAGAGAAGCAACTGGATAAGGCAGAGAACAGTCAGTAACTTTCAGGTTCAGGTGCCTGTGGGCAAGCTCTCTTCCAAGGACTGGGGGCCTTCCCACTTTGGGGTGACTGAATGAATCCGGGAAGATTTCAGTCTCAGTGGCTTTGGTGACACTGTGTCCTCTCCCCAGGAGACATACTTTGTGACACTCCCCCAGCTCAGCTAACGTACTAACGACCAGTACACTGGACTAGGTGCTCTGGGAGGATGGGGGGAAGGCCCCAGAAGGCATGGTGCCTCCAACATCCATACTATACTTCCTCTGGCCTTCTACTGGTGACACGAGCTGATGCTGTAAGGACAATGAGTCTTTTTACCCTCTTTCCAGAGTGTAAGTGCCGGCCTGGGAACAGGCAAGGCCAGCCACCAGATGTTTGGTTTTAACTTTACTATTAACTAGTTACCTGACCTTGGGTAAGTTCCTTAACCTCTGTAATACCCTCAATTTCTCCATCTGTAAAATGGGGGCAGGAGGGGAACAATATTCTATTAAGTGAGTTCTAAGGTCCCCTTCTAATTCTTAGTGGTGCCCGATCGTAGGAGCAGAAAACTGAGAGTACCTTCATCTGGAGCAGGCAGGTGGGCACGGCCATTCGGGTGATGCTGTCCGAGGCCATCTTGACATCTACTCTCCAGTCCAAGTCAACGAGTCGAGGCAAGGAGACTGCAGAAAGAGAAGATGCACTCAGTCCTGGGGGCTGCCCAGGCTGGCTCCTTCCCCCAACATCTACCATCTTTCTGATTTAAATGGCATGGAGGCCGTTGGAGGGAGCAGGGCATTGACGGAGGAGCAGGCTTGGGTAACACCCAGCTGCATCCCAGTCTAACAGCTCTACCCGAGCAAGGAAGGACATTGTGGCCTCCCTCACAGCAAAACGGGGACGTCAGCAGCCAGGCCTTTCAAAGGCCATCGAGATGACCAAGTCCGTCATTGCACAGGGCTTTTGGTTACTACTTTTAATAGGTTCTAAAGAACCACCAAGCCTCACCTTCCCTGCAACCATCACTCATCCATGGGATTCAATGACAAAAGGACAAGGGAGATTGTTCTTGCTTCTAAAGCAAGCCCCTCCCCGCTCAAACCCCATTTCTTCATCAGTGGGGCTGTAGAAAATGGCTCAAAGTTGTTTGTTTTTACAGAGCTCATGTGATTCTGCTCACTTCACTGGGTAACAGCTTAACCAGGCCTTCCCAGGTTTCTCTGAAACCATTTCCTTCATCATTCCAATGGAACAAGAGGATTCCATGCCATAATTTGCTTGGCATTCCTCAATGAAGGAGGATCACCTCAGTTTCCAATTCTTTTCCACCCCAAAAAGAGCTGCTAGAAGTATTTTTGTACAAATGGGTCTCCTTCCTTTACCTTTGACCTCTGCAGGCTACGGGACTGGGGGTGGTAATCCTGAGTCAAAGGTGATCTGGTGATTTAGGGGGCCTTGTTCCTCACTGCTCTTGAGAGTGGCCAGACCGATTTATGCCAATTCTACCAACAGCATATTCACAGGCTGCTTTCCCGGAGCCCTATCAGCATTTATCATTATCTTTTTTTAGTCAATGTTGCCAATCTGATGAGCGTGAGGTCAAAGCTCTCGGTTGCTTTAATTTGCATTTCTCTAATTGTTGGTGACTTGGAGCACTTTTTCAGATGCCTGTTGATAGCATGGATTTCCTCCCTTGACCACTGCCTGTTCACATCCAATGACAAAGAACGCTACCCAACTCTGGATGGTGAGGAGATAGGCTCAGAACAATGAGACAAATTTCTGGACGTGACCAATGTGGGCCATGGCCAATTTGCTTTATAATAATAATATTAATAATCATAATCATAATCGAAATATCATAATCACAATAATGATCATAATCATAATAAATAATAACGAGAGCTAGTATTTATATAGCACCTACTACGTGTAGATCCTTGCAACAACCTTGGGAGGTGGGTGCTATTATTACCCCCATTTTGCAACTGGGGAAACAAGAGGTAGACAGCAGTTAAGTGACTTGCCCAGGGTCACACAGCTTGTAAGGGTCTGAGGCAGCATTTGAACTCAGGTCTTCCTAACTCCAAGCTCCATCCACTGCTCCACCAAGTTGCCCCATGCATATCCATTACCAGGGTTTTATTTTTCTTTTCTTTTTTAAAGGTGAAGGAGGTGGGAGAGAGAAAATAAAAGCTTGCCAGTTGAAGATAAAATTTAATAAAAACAAGAAACCTTTTTCAAGTTATCTTCAGTTCCCCCAATCACTGCAAGCTCTCTCTGTTCCTCCTTGTGGTTCTCAGCTGCTGCCCACGAGTCTCTGAGGCTTCCAGCTGCGGGCCAGCGGGGGCCAGGAGCAGAGGCCCCTACCAGGCCCCAAGCCGAGTAAATGATGGGTTTGCAGTAGATGTCAATGTTCTGGGCTTGGTCATTTTAGGAAATGCACACACAGGTTCTACTTTACAGCAAGCTGGCTCAGTGGGCTTTGCCTTCCCTTTAAGCTGGTTCAGTTCATGGGTCATTGAAAAAGAAAGCAATGAACATCTGGGTTTAGTTTGAGGCTTAGCTAAGGAGGGTAGGCCCTCCAGGCGTGGGGCCTGCAGTTCAAGTCTCCAGTCCTAAGCAGAGCCAGCACTACGGGTGGGGAGGGGGGAGGAAGAAGGCGGGATGTCAAGGAGAGGTCAGCCCTTCCCATACTCACTTTGATTTGTCTGGGCCTCCTTCCTCCATGCAGGCCTGTGAAAAGAGGAAGAAGGTGTGGGGCGAAGAAAATTGAGTCTTCTGATAACTAGGAGAAATACACAGATACTAAAAGCCTATTTATACCACATTGGTAGGCTCCCTTCTTTTCCTAAGGGCAGCTAGAGGGCAGTGGATAGAGTGTCAGGCCTGGAATCAGGATGACCTGAATTTAAATCTGGCCTCAGACACTGACTAGCAGCGTGACCCCTGGCAAGTCACTTACCTCTGTTTGCCTCAGTTTCCTTATCTGTAAAACAGCCAGAGAAGGAAATGGCAAACCACTCCAGCAGCTTTGCCAAGAAATCCCCGAATGGGGTCACGGAGAGTCAGACATGACTGAGCAACAACTCCTATTCCTATTTTTGCAGGCAGTTGATGTAATATTGGAATTAATAATTTTCTCCAGCCCTTTCCCGAGCCAACAAATAAAAGGTTCCCTAAAGAACAAAGGAGTTCTCTTCCTCTCAGACACAAGTCACTTTTGAGGAAGCTGGGTGATGCCAAGGGCATGGGAATTTGCTGGAAGCTTCCAGAGCTTTGAATTAGAATACCAAGTCACCAAGTGGGCAGCGTAATTCTTCTTATTAGCCCCATTTGGCAGGAAACAGAGTGACTTACCCACGGTCACACAGCTAGGAGGTTTTAGAGGTGGGATCTGAACCAGATCTCTCTGTTGCTAAGCCCAGAACATCTTCCACCCTCCAGCCTGCTTCCCCCCAGCATGTGAAAAAGGAGAAGTCTCCATTTTCACACCGTCCCCAGGACACCCGGTATCCTTTGAGTCCTGGGTACCTTTGGTACCTCAGGAACTAAATGCCTTTGGATCTGGTGCCACATCCTCCCTGAGGCTGAATCCCGGGCTACGGCAGACAGTCCACAGAGCGAGGCTCCAGGGGATGACCCCTTAACTTGGCATCAACCAGGGGAGAGCGGCCCTTGACGAGCAAGCCAGTATCTCCAGTGTTTGTCTCACGGCTTCACCCCCATCCCATCCTCAGGTCATCGGCAGAAGCCTACTGGTCAGCTCTGGGGTTAGTTTAGCTTTGTTTCTTTTGGTTTTTTCCTCCCTCCCAACCCCCTTTAAAGGAATGAGGCACTCACACGTGTTCCATGATGATTTTCGTCAACAGGTTTTTGAGGTTTTGGTGGAAGTTTTCAGGGAACAAAGCAAGAATTGCCTCACTAGCAGTCAGGTCCCGGTAGGCCACCAGCCTGGTGAGGCGGTGCAGGGCACGGATCAGCTGTAAGAAAGGAAGGGTCCCTGGGGGGTCGAGAGAGGCTTGGCAGACAGAGGGGCCTTCATAATTCCCACTGACACTCAGAGCAAGCTTCAACCAGATCCAGGCCAGATCCAGCCTCTGACACTGAGCTGCAGGACACTGGACAAGTCCCTTCACCTTTAAGCCTCAGTTTCCTTCTTTGCAAAATGAGGAGGCTGGACTAGATGCCATCTGAGGGCCCTTCCACCTCCACGTCTAAAGCCTTGGGGGCCTGGGGCACCTCTCTGCTGAATGGCTCTGTTTAATCCTTAACACATCCATCATTCCTCTAACCCTGGAATCAGTCCACATCTTTCAGAAGTGGGGTGCCAAGGTACTGATCTTTGTCCTGCTGGCACTGGCTAGAAGCTTTGGGAACCAGTTCCCCATTCAAAAATACTACAGTGATAATGGACTTGCCTGAGTTACCAGGTTCCTCTTTAAAAATGCAAACAGTCCTGAGCAGGTTGTGTTCTGTTGAGGAGAGGTTGGACTGTCTCACCCCGAGGTCCACCAGAGCCCTAAGATTCTATAGTTAGGAGCTATACACCTCCTCGAACTTTGGGATTAATGCCTGAAGTGTCAATGGTCTAAACAACTACTGAGCTCCCTACCAGCGCTAAGATCCCAGAATTCTCTCCTTCTTGTAGTCTTCACGTAGGGATTAGACTAGATCGGGTGTGAGTCCCTTATGGCCATCAGGGCCTGAGATCAGCCAATCACACCTGGGAGTGGAGATCATAAAACTTCTTCATGCCGAGAAATGCTCAGAGGTTCAGGTGAGGCACATGCTCTACCCTGAGCTCTCTTCTCCCTCTACCGTATTTCCCTCCCACCCTCCCATTCAATTATCATCTCGATACAAATGCTTCTCATACCTAGTTATCCATCCCTAACCTCTTTCCTGACCTCCAGTCTCTTATCTCCAACTGCTCAGTGGACATCTGAAACTCATTATCTTAGCCCCAAACCCTCCCCTCTTCCAAACTTCCCATTGAAGGTATCCCCATCGTCCCTGTCACTCAGGCCTCCCACCATCCCCTCTCCCTTCCTATCCCCTGTGGCCAAGTCCTGTTGACTTTACCCTCTCCAAATCAACCTTCCCGCTATTGGGCAGTGGGTCCTTGCAGGCCCCAGGCTCACAAGCTCAGGATCCTCCTCAATCCTCACTCTCTCACCCAACATCCCTCCTCCAGTCTGCTGCCAGTCTTGCCGACCCTATCTTTGCAATAGCTCCTGTATATGCCCCCTTTTTGCCTCTGACATTGTCACCACCTCGAAGCAGGGCCTAATCACCTTGTGCTCTTTCTTATACAGTTTTCAAAGCACCTTCACACCACCCCCACTACCCTCCTTGGCAACAACCCTATGACGTATGGAAGGCAAGGGACTTCATCCCCATTTCACAGCAGAGAAATTGAGGCTCAGAAAAGGTCCCAAGGTCACATAGTAAGCGGCAGAGCTGGGCCAGGAAGTGAGGTCTTCTGACTCCAAGGCCAAAGCTCTTTCCCCTAGAGCCCAGCACAGTCCTACACCCAAAGGTACCTTCAGAACACACTCACTTGATCGGCTTCCTCCTGGGTCACTGACAAACTGGAACATGTGATGTCCAACAGTTTCTTTGAGCCAAGAGCTGAACTGGAAAAGCTCTCTTGGCACAGCTGTCTGACGACATCTTTCGAGGAGGCCTGGGAAAGAAGAAAGGGGAAAGACCTGGACTCAGACTGTGAGAATGAGTTCTGCAGAACACAAGGGACCAAAACTCCCTGCAATGGCTTGTCTCCCCAGACACATACTTTCAAAGGCCCATTTGCTGAAAATGCAAATTTGAATTGAGAGTTGTACTGGAGGGAAGCAACCATGAGTTGATTGGGAAGGGGTCTTATGTACGTAGGAAACCTCAAAGATCTTCTTACAACATATAAATGATACAAATGGACAGCTAGGTGGCACCAGGTCTGGAGTCAGGAAGAACTGCATGCAAATATGGCCTCAAACACTTCCTAGCTGTGTGACATCACCCTTTTTGCCTCCGTTTCTTCTTCTGTAAAATGAGCTGGAGGAGGAAATGACAAACCACTCCAGTATCTCTGCCAAGAAAACCCCAAATAGGGTCATAGAGAGTCCAACACGACTGAAAAATAACACAACGTAAATGATATAAAATAAGGATGGACTGAAGAAGGCAGGAGAAAGAGCAACAGATTTTAGGAGTGGGCTGCATGAGGTCATTTCTAAGGCCTCTTCCAAGACTAATGTTCTATGGGAGACAAAGAAGGAGAGTAGAAAGAATACTGGAATTGAGGGTCCTGGTCCCCATTCAAATATTACCTCTGACATCTGATACTTATTAGCTGTGTGACCTCTCTGAACCTAAGGTCCATCTGTAAAACAGAAATAAAAATGCCTATGGTACTCATGGCACTGAGTAACGGTGAGGCTGGATCACAGAGGCTGGAAGGGTCCTTGGAGGCCATCAGATCCAGTCCTCTCATTTTACACATGAGGACACGGAGAATAAATGAGATGAAGTCACTCGCTCATAATCACATGGTCAGGAAGCATCAGAGCCACATTATATATAAGGAAAGAACTTTACAAATGTTAAAACATCACATAAAGGTCATTATTATGTTTTTAGTCCTGTGGAATAATAGGTGAAAGTTGCTAACAGGTAAATTCACAACTGATGTAATGAAAAAAACAATATAACAATTACAGCTCAAGTGTAGTGAGTTACCTCCTTCAATAGTGTATTCCCTTTCACTGAAGGTCTTCAAGCCAGATAACCAATTCAACTCAATAAACCTTTATCATAATTATGGGCTCGGAGATTTCGAGCTGGAACTCAGCGATAAACTAGTTCAACAATTTCACGTTTACAGATGGGGAAACTGAGGCCTAGAGAGGTTCAGTAATCGCCTTGTCTAAGATCACAGAGTGAGGATTGGTACCTGGGTGGCAGGCGCTCTAGGTGCTGCGCCTGGCTTACTCTCACTATTGGTTCACATGTTTATCTCCGGATTCTGTGCCGGGAGGTCCCTTCGAGCTCTGAGTCAAGCCTCATGAACTTTCCTAGACTACTGCAGTAGCCTTCTAATTGGTCTCTCTGTCTCTTCTTTTGCTGCCAAAAAAGTTGCCAAAGTTGATTTTCCCCTGGTGCAGATATAACTATGTTACCCCAATTCTCGATCAACTCCAGTGGCTGCTGATTACTTCTGGGATTAATATAAATTCCTGTTTGGCATTTAAAGGTCTCCAAAACTTGGCCCTTCCCTTCCAAACTTCTGATGCCCTATAAGTGTTATGGTACTGCCGTCACCATGACGCTGGATTTCCCACCTCTGTGACTTTGCCTGGCTGTCCTGCACATCCCCCAGGCCTGGCAGGCTCTCCATCCTTTCCTCCACTTCTGGTGACCTCGGCTTCCACCTCGCTCCTGCGGGTCTTTTCCAGTCCCCACCCTGGGTCAGTGGCTTCCCCTCTCTGAGGCTGCCTCCCATCTACTCTGTACATGGTTATTCCATGTGCCTAATTAGGTATTTGTGTGTCTTCTCCCCATTAGAAAGCGAGCTCCTTGCAAGCAGACACTGTATTGTTGCCCCTTGGGTTCCTCCAGAGCTCAACACAGTCCTGGGCACATACTTGCTGACTGACTGACTGAGCCAAGGGCTGAAATGGAGGGTAGGATTATATAGGATCACAGACTTGGAGCTGAAAGAGACCTCTAAGGAGGACAAGTCCAACGTCCCCATTTTAGAATGGAGGGAGCTAGGCAGCCTAATGGAGAGAGCACTGGACTTGGAATTAGGAAGCCCCGAATTCGAATCCTACCTCAGTCACTTCCTAGCCTCGTGACCCTGGACAAGTCACCGAACCTCTCAGCCTCAGTTTTCCTTCTATAAAAAGAGGATAATAACAGCACTCACCTCATAGGGTGGTGAGGATCAGAGAGGTTAGGCAATTAAAGCCCCCCTGAGACGGGGTCAAGCTTGGCTCCTGCTTGCCAGGCCTGTCGTGAGGCCCAAAAGGGACCGGAGCTCTTAGGCCGGCGGCTTCCCCTTCCCAGAAGCAGCGGAGGCGAGCGCGGCCTTCCGCAGAAAGGGGGACCTCGGCCGGGACGCGGGGCAGAGCATCCCCGCGGCCCCCACTCCCACCCCGGGAGCCTCGGGGCCGCTTCTCCCGCCCGCCCGCTGACCCCGATCTTCGCTGTCCGGAGTCCCGGCCCCGCAGGGAATTACCTTCAGCAAGCTCTGCAGGGCCACGAAGTCCACCTGCGCCTCCGCAGCCATCTTCCTTCCTCCCAGTCACATGACTCAAGCAGCTCTGCGGCCAGAGGGGAGAGAGAGAGAGCGCGCGCTGTGCTGTGTCACGTGGGGAGGCCAGGCCGCTAGGCATGCTGGGAGTTGTAGTCCCGTGCTGGGGAGCCCCGCCTTTACGGAGAGTGACAGGCGCTGAGCCCAGAGCTGGGGCTGAAGACACTGTTTTAAAGGCAGAGGCGGCGGGAGGAAGCTCAGCTGAGACAGGACGGGAGTACCGACCCCCGCGGGCTGGGTGAGCTGGAGGGGGCCAGGTGGGGATCCCCTGGGGGTGGGACTGGGGCGGAGGTTCTGCTCTGAGGTGGGGTGGGATGAGCACCTTCCTCCTGGCGTTATCGCCTCTCTTAGTGTCGTCATGGTGATCCTGACCGTGGGCATCCTGCTCTTGTCCTCATCCCTATTACTGTAGTTATCGTCATCATCATTACTGCTTTTATTACTACTGTCGTTATGAGTTTGTTACTATTGTTGGTATTATTACTATTCTATTATTGTTATTAATTTTTTATTATTTTTGTCTTATTATTCTTGTTCTTGTGATCATTATTTTTACCATTGCTGTTATTGTTATTGTCATTGTTACTAGTATTATTTTTGCTATTGCCAATCGTTATCATTTCTATTGTCATCATTATTGTTGCTTTCCTTACTGTTGTTATTATTATTATTTCATTGCTATTATTGTTATTTGTTCATTACGGTTATTATCATTATCATATTACTGCTGTCATTATTTTGATCATTTTTTACTATTATTATCATCATTTTGTTACTCTTGTCACCATTATCATTTTTATTACCATCACTATATTGTCATCATCACTATTGCTTTTATTACTATGATTGTTATTATTGACACCGTTATTATTTTGTTATTGCTGTTATTATTTTACTGTTATGGTTTTAGTATTACTATTGTTATTTTTGCAATCATTATTTTTTACTCTTATTATTTTATTTAGTGCTATTATTGCCACAGCTATTGTTTTTGTTATTGCTGTTATCATGATCATTTTCTATAGTCATCATAATTACTGTTTTCGTTATTATTGTAGTCATTATTTTATTTACTGTTATTATTTTGCTACTATTTTGTCATTATTTTTTAATTACTGTCATTATTGGGAGAGGGAAGAGGAAGGGGGGAATCAGTCTAGGTCTCTTGGCTTTGCAGGAGAAACTGAGCTATCTACTCTGGGTCTTTTAACTTTTACGACTCTATTCTCTCTGCCTCCTCCCCACCCTCAAAAGATTATAACCCCTAGATACATTATTTTTGACAGTTTAATAGAAAGAGAATTGGTCTTGGAGTTGGAAGACTTGAACCTGAGTCCCAGTGGCACCTGAGGAAGCAAATGCCTTCCTCGTCTGAGCCTGTGTTTTCCTTATGTGTCCAATGGGCTTTAATACTTGAACTCAGAGCTGTTGTGAAGAAAGTGCCTTTTAAATTGTAAAGGGTTATGTGAGCGTCAAAGGTAATTGCTACTGAGGAAGTACTTTAAAAACTCTGGAGGACTGAGGGAATGTGAATTGTTACTATTATTTGTCAGTTTCCCCTTTCCTTTTAATAGTATATAGATTGTAGCAGCTAATAGAATGGAAGGTCCTTGAGGGCAGGGGTGTCTATTTAGATATTTCAAAGGATCAGTAGAGTTGTCAAGGAATTCAGAGACCGTCTAACTAACCCCTTTGGGCATTTAACTAAGCCCGTTTACCCAAAGTTACCTAGCTAGTAAGAATATCCTTGACGCTAGTCAATAAGTCACTAAACATTTCTTAAGTACCTGTTGTATGCCAGGACTGTGCTGGGGTTACAAAGAAATCCAAAGGCAATCCCTGTCCTCAAGGAGCTCACAGTCTAACTGGGACAGTTTCAGGTAGAGTTTTTATAGTTGCCTCTTAATAAATGTTTGTTGGCTGATTGATCTCAAGCTAAAAAGAAATTCAGTTAATCCAGTCCATCACCCCACATTTTTTTAGAAGTGAGGGAAACTGAGTCCCAGAGAGTTGAAGTGACTTGCCCAACCTCACAGAGATAGCAAGTGGCATAGCTGGGATTGAACCCGGGTCATCTGGCTCCAAACTTTTTCCACTTTGAAGTGGCGCAGTGGATGGAGCATCAGACCGAGAGTCACGGAAGACTCATCTTCCTGAGTTCAAATCCAGCCTTAACGCTTACTAGCCATGTGACTCTGGGCAAGTCCCTTCACCCTGTTTGCCTCAGTTTCCTCATCTGTAAAAAGAGCTGGGGAAGAAAATGGCAAACCACTCCAGTCTGTCTCCCAAGAAAACCCCAAATGGAGCCCTAAAGATTAGGACGCGACTGAAAAAAGACTGGACAACAACCACCGTGTGATTGCTTTGTGCCTGGAGGACAGTTTTTCACCAAAGGTTGGTCCAATCCTACTTCCCAGACGGATTGAGCATCCATTCTCTAGCACAGGATGATTTAATGGAAAGAACACTAGATCGCAGGAATATTTTGAATCCTGACACCCATACGTAACATCCGTGGGATCTTAGGCGTTCCGTTAACCTCTCTGGCACTCAGTTATGTCCTTTCTACTTCACCATACTGTGCCTCGAAATACACCCGTCCTCTTCTGACTCAGTTACTAGAAATGTCTCTGTCCCACTTGTATATGCTGTGAGGTGCCCCTTGGTCTATGTAAATAGATTTAAACCCTCACTGAGGCATCAAAAATTCCCTGGACCTTTCATTGTGGTTCATTTCCCTAAAACTCCAGAGTGGGACCTGAACCAGGTTAAAATGTAATTGAAAAACATTTAACAAAATAAATAAAAATGCAACACAAGACAGATGATGTTAACTTGTGGTTTTCTAAGTCAGTGCGAGGCCAACAGGGATCATTTCTTTCTGGTTTAGTGCCTGGGAGTCAGGAGATGGTTTCTGTGGATAGATCTGGGTTGGAATCCCACCTTCAGTACTTACTAGCTTTTTGATCCTGTACAAGTTACTGAAGCCTTCTGGGCTCGGGATCTTCTTCTAAAATGAAGGAGGTGGGCTCATTCATCCCAAAGGCCCCTTCTAGTTTTTTGATCCTATGACTTGTGGTGCTAGCCCTGGTTCTGGTGGATGACTTTGCCCAGCCCCTCTCTGGGCCTCAGTTTCTTCAAATGCAAAGTGAGCCCAATGGACCTGGTGGTGATGTTCCTTTTTCTGTGAAAGGAAATAGGTCACTCAGTGGGGAAACAAAAAGGTGTGAATGTTTGGGCGGGGAAGTGGCTCTGCCACGGGCCCCCAAATGCTTGGGTGAGGTGGTCCCCTGCTCCTAGTCTCCCATGCCCCAGGACGTGTGGGTAAACACACTCCTCTTGCCCAGCAGTTCCACCAAGAATGATCAGAGAGTTCAGTCAGATGGTAGGACGACAAAGGCCTCACTTCTCTTCTTCCAGGGGCAGCAGGAACACAGACAAATTTGGAACACAATGACAATTATTCCTAGAACACAGGATGTCTTTGTTCCCAAAATACACAGAGTATCAGTTTTAACAATGACGCTTCACCCTTCATCCTTGAACACCCTGGCCTTCAGAAGTGTTTTTGGGTCTGGAACCAGTAAAATCCTTACTTCTGGCCACGCACATTGTTTTATCACGCTGATTGTAATCCAACAAGCATTTTGTTGTCTTATGTGTTTCTTAGGTGCTTTAAATATGTATTTGGACGACCTTCCTTGCCTCCATTTTTTCCTCTTTCCCTCCTCCTCCTCTTCCCCCTTGGTTTGGAAATGCCTGAGAAGTGACAGAGAGGCCTGGTACCAGGTGAGTCCAGCAAAAACTCACCTGCCAGAGCCCAGGGTAGTTCCAGGGACAGACTCCACAGTTTGGGTAGGAGGGAAATGAAGAGAATGTGGAGTGTTTGGGGAATGCAAACTGTCCAGTTTGGTTCTAATGTCGACTGTAGAGATAAGGATAATATATGACCTAGGGATAGCTAGGTGGTGCAGTGGATAGAGTGCCAGGCTTAGAATCAGGAAGACCTGAGTTCAAATCTGATCTCAGATGCTTACTAGCTGTGTGACCCTGGGCATGTCTAGAAATGTTGGGGAGGAGGCATGAGGGCCAGATTATAGAGCCTTCCATACCTGGAGAATGCTTTTGGTAGACAATAAGAGCCAATGAACATTTTTGAGCAGAGGAATGATATGACCAGAGTGAGAAGGAGCATCCCAGTTGAAATCAAAGGATCTGGGTTCAAATGCTGACCCGGCTATTTTAACTACCTGTTGTCAACTGTGTATGGCAGCGTTAGGGAGAGTGCAGAGTCAGGGAAATTGTAAGCCTGCGTGAATGAGTGAGTGAATGAATGAATGCATGAATGAAAAAAACCGTTTATTAAGCACTATGTGCAAAGCACTGGGGATGTAATAGAAAAGGGATTCCATGAGGAGCCAGGGGGCAGCGCCTTTAAGAGGTTTCTGCTGCGATTCTGATAAAGGCCTGATTGTCCTTAGGGGACTGCAGCAAAGCAGACGCACCTTCATTAATGTCATTCCCTCTCACAACCTCACATCACTTTCAGATGCTGAATCATTCGACCTCATGGTGAGAGCTTTCTTCTCTGGGTGTTCAGGCGCTATGGCTGTGGCACCCGATGTTGGGCTGCCTTTCTGCGTTGCTGGCTGAGGGGCCAGAGCTGGGGAAGGGGCTTAATGAAGCTCTTGGTGCTGAGGGTGTCAAGGATGGTAGGCCCTCTTCCACAGGGATTGCTCCCCTCAGTGATGGCTGCAGAGCCTGGGCTGACAGAGGAATCTGTGGGCTGTGGGGTGTTGCTCTTAGCTTCAGGGTGCTGGGCTCTCTACTTTGGAGTCTGAGGGAAGATGGTGGCTCGATTTGCCTGGCATATACCACCTCCTGTCCCTCCCTCAGGTTGCCTTGCTGCTCCTCCCACTAAACTGGCTTGCCTGTCCTGTAGGTAGATGGTGGTGCCCACAGCAGAAACAGGGACAGGGAATGAGAAAATGAATTCCATTTTGGAAATATCAAAGGGTCATCTAGCAGGAAATATCAAGAGGCGGTTGTATCGTCTCTCTGTGGTCACAGGAGTGTCATGGGCACAGCCCAGGATGTGCACGTAGGTAGCTGTGTATTCCAGGCAGGAAAGGGGCCCCAATCTGCTTATTTTTAATAGTGAAAGCCAAGTGACAGCGTACCTTCTAGTCAGCTGGTCCATCTCGTTTCTCTGTAACAAGGACCTACCTTTTGAGGACA